TTCCCCTGAAAACGCAACAGGGGAGGATCTGCCACCTCTCCCGTTGCAGAATAAACGAACAAAAGAGGGAGGTTTTGCTTCTAAACCTGAAAACGAGAGTAGGTTTGTTCAGGGAGGGAGGTGGAACCAGGAAATCCAGGCTCTAATCTGGATTCCTGCCCCAGACCTGCCCAGGGACCAGGAAGGTCCATTTACTGTTCCAGTTCACCCAGATGTTTTGTCAGGAAAGCTCTGACAGCACTTGCACCTGAAGTAAATTCCCAGGAAAGCCTCCATCCCTCAGCTGAATTTACAGTCGGACTCCGTGGTCACAGGGGTATTTTCCTTGGAGATTCCATGGAGCCTTGCTCAGGAGAAGCCTCAGGAAAGAAGTGGGAAGAGGCAACTGCAGAGCTGCTTTGGCCACACTCACAGCAGGGCTGTGGTGGCTTCCACTCCACTGAACCAGAGCTGTGTCCCCCCAGTGCCAGCTCCCCTCACTGCACAGGACATGACATCACCCTCCTGCCCTCAGATCGATTCCCAGGACCAGGAATTTAACTCCCCCCCCCAGTCCTTAACTTCCCATCACTCCGTGTGCCTTTTTTCCCCTTGTAAAATTAAAGACTGACGGATTAATTTGGGAGAGGGACTTTGAACCCAGCCTGGCCAGTCCCTCCCTCCATTCCTGTGTTTTAGCTGGTTCTTAACAACGCCTGAATTACCAAACTCGACAAAACCCATCAGCTTCACATTCACTCGGGTCCAAACCGATTTACTCCCCAGCCCGAGACAGAGTCACTCGAAGCCCATCTGCGGGATTCCAGCGGAATCCTGAGCGATGAATCCCGAGTTCAGGGAAGGGCTGGCGGGACATCGCCCTCCCCACGGGGGACAGGGTGGGCAGCTCTCGCAGCATGACAAAGGCTCCAAAAAATCCAGAGTTGTGAAACGACTCCGCGCGGACCCCAAACCTGGCTCCGGCACCGCCTGGCTCCGCCGAGCCCTAAATCGCTGCCCCAAAATGTGTTCGTTTTACCCCGACGCTTCGAGAAAAACCCACCCGCAGCAGAACAAAGGCAGGAGGAGGGGAAACGATGAGAAAAACTGGAAAATCCACCCGCATCGGGGCCTCGGGACCCGCGTTTCAAGTCCCCGGCATATGCAACTCATTTTGGAGTTGAGCAATTCCCCCCCCCCGGGGACACTCGGAGTCCACACGCGGGATCGGATTTCATGAGCAGTCGGAGGAAAAATGCGAGCCCTGAGCATTTGCAAGTCAAAACTAGCGAGGGCAGGAGCTGCTCTGGCCATCTCGGCTTCGTTTTCCCCCCCGGTGAGGGATTGAGGGATTTTTTAATTTTTTTTTTCCCGATAAGAAACATTTGTTAAGATCCAGGGATGTGGGAAGAGCGAGGAAAAGATGGGAGTATTTCACAATGCATATTTATATGTATATATGTGTGTATGTGTGTATATATATATGTGTGTGTGTGTGTGACTCCTGATCCAGATATCAAAACCTCTCACTCCTCAGCGCTTCAGCTTGACTGCTGAGCTCACCTCAGTTACTTCTTCTTTCACGTACAGATAAAAATACGTAAATATATAAAACGAATAAAAATACATAAATGTACAAATATATAAACATATAAAGATATACATATATAAATATATACATATATAAATATATACATATATAAATATATATATAAATATACATATATAAAGATATACATATATAAAGATATACATATATAAAGATATACATATATAAATGTATAAATATATATATGTATTTTTGCACAATTCCTGCTTATGTAACTCACCACAATCCTCACGCGAGGCAGAAACAATCCCAACCTAATAAATTCCCTTTTCTCCCTTCAACCGGACCCTTCCAGGAGCAGAACCATTTCACCCCAACGAGCCACGCCACGAGCTGCCCCAGCTCCCGGCGTCCCGCACGCACTCGAGAGGCTCGAGCAAGTCGTTCCCACCGCGGTGTGAGTTATTAAACCCCACGATGTTCTGCTTTTCCACCTCCCCGAAACAATGCCCACGAGATTTGCGGAGCCCGGAGCCGGAGCCACTCCCTCCCGGGGTTTTCCCGGTGCTCCCCGGAGGCAGCGGCTCCAGCTGCTCCCGGGATTTTGGGAAAGGAGCGACCCTTACCTTGGGCTGGGGGGGCTCGCCCTTCTCGAACATCATCTTGAGCTTGCTCAGGGGCACGTTGTACTTCTCGATCCTGCCCGGGGGCTCCGCGCCCTCGCCGGCCTCGGGCTTTTCCCCCTCCCTGGGCTCTCTCACGCAGTTTTCCATGTTGGCACCCTCCGGGGAGCGGGTTCTGGCCTTCGAGCCGTCGGCGGGGGCAGCTCCAGCCCCCGGGGATGGGGAAGGAGCGCGGCCGGTCCCGACCTTGTGCCGAAGCTCAGCGCGGCCGCCCCGCAGCGATTCCCTCCCGGACTCGGCTCCCAGCGCCGGCTTCTCCCACTTCTTCTTCAGCACGCTCAGATTGCCCCTGGTGAAGTGAGGGGGCAGGTTTTCCGCGTTCTGCAAGGGACAAGGAGTTAGTTCCGAGCTCTCCCGAGCGCTTCCTTTCCCGTATGCGGGGGGAAGGCGAGGGCTCCGCTCCCGCTCCCGGCCAGCTGTGAACAGTTCCAGCTGTGCCACATGGAGAAACATCCAGGACAGGGAAGGAAGGAGGGGGGGGAGAGGAGAAAAAAGTCAGGAAGTGAGCAAACAGGATGGCCTTATAAGGCAAAATGGGAGTCAAACCCGAGGGGTTAAATTCCACACAAAAGGCTCGAATCCACATATGAAGGAAATGAGACCCAAATCCACACGAGGAGGGAGCGGCCACGGGGGAGGGCCCGACCCTGCAGCGTCCTCAACAGTTATCAGGCCTTCCCAAAGCTACAGATCAGTCCTCAGAAACCTCTCAGCCCTTGGGGTTTTGTATTTCTGCTCCCGGGTAACAGCAGCACTTCAGCCCCGAGGGATCTGACCAGGGTTTCACAAAGCTCCAGCCAAGCACCCACAACAAACATCCCCCCGCTCCTCCTCATCAATCACAGAATTGTTAGGGTTGGAAGGGACCACTGCCAAGGCAGGATCACCTAGAGCAAGTAGGCTGTGGAATGACCCCAGACAGGGAGACTCCAGGACCTCCCTGGGCAGCCTGTTCCAGTGCTCTAATAACCAGCAATTCGCTGGGATTTTTCTTCTGTTCCACTCGGGCCACTGAAAGCTCTGCCAGGGACAGGCCCAGGGGGTCACAAACACACCTCAGCCCTCCAGGGAGCACCTGGAGCATCCAAGTGCTTCCATAGCTCCCATCCAAGTGCTTCCATAGCTCCCTTCCCAGAGCAGTTGTGCTCCAGGCAGCTCCCCCTCCCCAGAGCAGCAGCCCCAGCCCCTGTTTGGTTCCTCCCAGTCCAGTACCTGCCACCATTGCATGATTCCTGCCTCTCCCCCACGGAGACCACTCCAAACTCATTGCAAGTGGAGCAGGGCCTGCCAGGCTTACAGGAATTAACTGGGATTAGCAGCTATATTGGGATTTAAGTCTCTCACCCTATTACTCTTCTGGTCCCATTTTGAACACTGCTTTGCAAATTGACTTGAATCCACCTACACTTCCACCACAAAAAAAAAATAAATAATAATAAAAAAATCAGCCTGTTTGCTGACTGCATCGAAAGGAAAGCACTGAAATGATAAGGGAAGTGTTGTAATGGGACAGAAATCCTGGAGGTTGCACAGCAGGTTTCCATGGGAACACCTCTGGAGTCCCTGCACACTTCCTAACCAATCCCTCCTGCTTGGGATTTGCCTGTTCCCCGATGACAGGGGGACTGACAGACACAAGCACGAGCAATGACGGGAGTTTAAGACCCAAAAGTAATTTTCAGGGTGCTTATTTTATCCCACCTGTATCCCAAACAGCAAAAGAGTGACGCCCCAAGAACTAAGGAACTCAAGGCAGCGACTTTCCTCTAGATCCTGAAAATACTGGCAGTCCTTTTAAATACTAATTACCCCGAGGGCCTGCTTAGGACAAAGCCCTGCAACCTTCATGCCTGGTGTTCCAGCCAAGGTTCCCTGACCCCGGAACACCAAGTGCAACAGAGGGAGTGTGAGGCTGTAACAGAGCCAAAAAGGTTGGTGCTGCCTCCTCCAGGGGCATTTCCAGCCCTGGAAGTCACTTCAGGGAAGATCCTGCAGCTCTCAAAGACACACAGGGATTTTAGAGAGGCTGGAGGCCTCTTTTAAGCACTTTTCAGTTTAGTTAAGAAGGGAAGAGGCACCACACAAGTGCCTCCAGCTAAGAACGGGAGGTGGGTGTTCAGTTTGTGGTTAACTCAGTTTGCCTTTTGCTGAGGGGTGAACTGGTGATTCAACAGAGCTTCGGGCCAGAAGCTTCATCTCCTTTCCTTCCCTTCCCTCCACGCTGGGGGAAGGTGTGGAGAACAAGGCAAGAGCAAACACTGTGTCTAAGCCAAGCAACCTGGATATTCCAAAAATCAGCTGTCACAGCAACATTGATGCAGGTGATCCATCCTGATCCTAGGCTCTGCTCATTCCCAAGGAAACAAATACTTATGCAAACACTTACACTTCTTTTCTTCTCAGCAGTGGCTTCTTCAGCAGCTTTCTGATACCTTTGAGAGGGAGAAAAACCAAACAAAAATGACTTTTTTTTTAGACTGAACACTCCTGAAAAGACAGCTGGGATTTTTTTTTTTTTTTCCCCCAGCAAGGATCTCACTCCCCAGATCTATCAACTAAAACCAGGGGCTGGACAAACAGCAGCAAATGACACAAAGCCAAGTGACAGACACATTTTCAGCCACCCAGTTTACAGTAATAACACCCATTAATGTTTCTCACTCCCTAAGCACTCTGCTTCCCAAACAGAGACAGTTTACCTTGGAATAGCCGTCCTTGTTTCCGCCACCCAGCTGTCTGCTGTGCCCCCCTCGCAGGAATAACTCAGCTCTTTATCCAGCAGCTGCTGAACCAGAACAAATCCCAGCTTGGCACACCCCAAAAACCTCCCTGAGTGCCAGTGGATCCGACTCTGTGGGCTGGAAACTGCCCCCATTCAGCAGTTGCCTCCTGAGCAGCTGAGCCAGGGTGGCAGCAGGAAGGGTAATCACAGCCCTCCCAAGATAAGCCACCCTGGATCATGAATCAAAGTCCTTTAAGGAGCTCGAGCAGGGAACTCCCTGCAATCTGCCCCCGGGGGGGAGTCCCTGCACGCTCCTCACTGTTCCTGCACCACACTTGGTGTCTGGAACGTGAAAATTAGGGACAAATTTCGCCATTTTAGGGAGAGCTCTGCTTTTCGGGGAGAGGGAACATCCCCCAGTGTCTGCCTGGGCAAAGGGTGTTTCTGTTTTCCTTATCTGTGGAATTCTGCTTTGACTCAGCTGTGAGTGTGCTGCAGGCTGCTGCCTCCCCTTTAATCCCTGCAAACACACTCACCCACCTCTCTGCCCCCACAAAGGGTCCCAAATTTGCACAGGACACGCTGAGAAAGTGCTGCTGTGGAAAGAGGGATCAATACTGGGAGAAGCAACCAAGAGGGACACAGGGATTAAGTCAAGTACCACCTGGAAAACACGGGAGGATTGAGGAGCCCCAGCCCAGGGCACTGCTTGGGTCCCTCCCGTTGCTATTTGTCTGCCTGTGACCCGACAAAACCGATTATGTGGCACGGAAAAAGAAATGTTTTCGCAGACAAATATTTGGGTACCAGCGTTTAGAAAAGTTCCCCTCCTCCCTGCAGGTGTCAGGGAGCAGGACCGTGTTTTTTCCAAGGGACTGACACTGCCTGTGCAGGGGGGACAGGGCTTGATTAAGGACTAGCAGTTTGGATTACTCCCAGTAAGCCCTTTTCGAGGGATTATCAACATTTAGCAAGATGACCAGGTCCTGTAATCAAGCTCCAGCGAGTGAATAAATTACCTTAAGGAGGCAGTGACAGCAAAGAGCTTCTCCCTGGCCCAGAGACCCACAGAGGAACTTGGAGATGTGCAGTTCTCCCTCTCTTACACAGTTTCCCCCACACTCAAGATCCAAACACCCCTAAACTTTGCTCCATTATTAATGCAACATCCCAGGAGACTCAGTTGCCCCAAATCCCACTGAAAGTCCCAGCTGCATCCTATTATAATTCCTTAAGGAAATAGAAGCTTTTCCAGGAAACATATGCAGGTTCCACCCCTCAGTGTGTACAATATTTATGGTTTAACACTTCATCCATCTCTCAGAGGAAAGGGAAGGGTAATGTTCCTCTTCTACCCCAGTCAGGGGATATTGGGAAAAGGTTCTTCCCCCATAGGGTGGCTGGGCAGTGGGCACGGCTTCCCACATCCCAGTGCTCTGCCCCTCAGCTCCAAATTGCAGTTGGTAGCGTGACAGAAAACGACCTCCTTTAGCTCCTTCAGCAGAAGGAAGGTGTTCCAGCTCTGACTGCTGAAACAGGGCAATGTCAGCAAGGAGAACAACCTTTGCCCAGCACATCCTAAACCAGAAACCTCAGTGCCTCCAGCTCTGGGGCGTTTTGAAGCAGCAAAGCAACTGTGAGTGCAGCAGTGCCTGCCCAAGGGAGCAGCTGTCACCTCCCAGCCCCACAGCCCCACTCACTTGGAGAACCTCTCAGCCAGGGCCGAGGACTTGTTCCTGTTGACCAGGGAAAGCTCCTTGGCAGTGATTTTCAAAGACTGGGAGGCCCATTGTCTTCTGCTGAACGGGGAAGGCTCCATCTTGTCTCCCCAGATCCCTGTGAGGAGGAAGGAACGTTGTCAGCAGCGGGAATGGAGAGCGGGGAGGAGGTTTCAGAGTGATTTGTTGCTGTCCCCGTGAGGGTGCTCCCAGTGCCACCAGCCCTGACCCCGTGGGATCCCACCCATCAACTGACTCAAAAAAAAGGCAGCAGATGCCAATTATAATTTCCTCAGCAGATGCCACCGAGATGGTGCCCTGATAAAGCCTCCAGGAGGGGGTGAGAGGGGCCGGAGGATTCCGGAGTGAGGATTCCGGAGTGACTCTCTCGTGTTTCCCACACACACACACACCCCCAGAGGAGCTCCAGGAAGCCCCAGAGCGCCCTCAAACCCAAACCTGCTGGCATTTATGTAAGAGGGCTCGAGTTATGAAACTAAGAGGATGTAATTCCTGTGCAAACATTTGTCATTCGCTCTTGTTTCGCTCTCGGTTTCCTCCGCGAGCTCAGACCCTCCTGTCACAACAGTGACCACAGTGGCACTTAAATAACACCAGTCACCTCAAGAACAGCTCTCACTCCCTCCCCATCCTGCTGGAAACGGGATTTGGTCCAGCTTTTCACCACCTCAGATTTATTTTTTCACATGCTTGGTTCTCTTTTTGGGGAGGAGGAGGAAAGGAGGGGAGATTGTAATTTAAAGAGTTCTCTGATAAGACAAAAATAAAAGCCTGTAGGGAAACGCCTTTCCTTTTTTTTTTTTCCCCCTCTTTTCTTTTCTCCCTGGTCCCCCTGTCACACAATGCCAACTGCTGGGGCTGAGCTCTTCCTTGCATTTTCCATTAATTCCTTTAAGGGATTTGCACAGTCACAGAACTCTGGATCCAGTGTGAGGCCAGGTCTGAGGCCAGGTCTGCTGGAGGACTGGTCACAGGGAAATGGAAACACCTTCAGGCAACAGTGGATCAAAGGGAGGGATGAGGACATTCCCCAAATCCTCACAGGTGTGGAATGCACCTGCTCAGAAATGAGGGAGACTTGGGATTCTGCAAGGCCTGGGGCCAGGAGAATTCAACTGCAGAGCCTGCGGTTCCCAGGGCTGGAATGGGAGCCCTGGGGCTGGCACTGGGAGTGGAGGAGCCTCTCCAGGGCTGGAATGGGAACACTGGGAGTGGAGGAGCCTCTCCAGGGCTGGAATGGGAACACTGGAGCTGGCACTGGGAGTGGAGGAGCCTCTCCAGGGCTGGAATGGGAGCCCTGGGAGT